GTTTCTTGCTCTATTTTTCTCCGTAACATTTATCATCATCTCACATACCATATATTTCACATACTTAGCATACTGTTTATATTCTGCTACTGGACGTTTCACCCTAGGAGAGAGAGCAGGGATTTTGGCCTGTTATGGGCACTGCTATATTCCCAGTACTGATAAAATTACTGGGCACATGTGCTGAACTAGTAATTCTTGAATGTTTTTGTCGTTCACTACTATGTGATGTTTTTTACATAGTTTTGAATATAGAGATTGCTTTCACACTGATGGTACCTAGGATACAGATTTCTAGTGGATAATGAAGGTGAAACAAACAAAATAAATAAATAAAATAAACAAAAAAAGCAAACTATAATTCCAAACTGAAATAAAAAGAGACCTTATTACAAATACTTGGTAAGATTTAAAGAACACATAGACTATCTGCCTTTGAAAAAAAAGGAAAGAAAAATTTAAGGAAGGATGAGGAAGGATGGGAAGAGGGAGGAAACCAGGTATGCATATATATGTGTCTTTTAAAAAAAATTTGCATCTATTTACCAATTTTTTCTGATCAGTTCTCAGCCCAACTATGCAAATAATAGTAGGTTCCAAAGAATGACTCAAAAGATTCACATCAAATACTGTATGTACTTATATTTCCCATTAAGCAAGATCGACTGCAAACTCTAGGGAGTCCATGCCACCTCTGAGATTTGGAGGACAAAAGAAACTGCTGATAAATATCAAAACATATTTCTTAACTAGGAAAATGTCCTGCTTTTAAAGCAGTAAAAAATGAACGCTAGTAATTTTTAATAGTTCCTGCTAAAGAGAAGAACAATGTTAACAAACATTACTATTTAAAAGATGGGAACTTGGGATTGAAAAATGAGAAAAAAATATAAGTTCTGGTTACATTTATAGAATATGAAGGCAGTTGTTCTTAAGCTATTTGAGGTCACATTCTACTCTCAGATTCTCATGAAAACACAGACCTCTCTTTGGAGCCATATAATTTTTTTATTCATTCATGAATTACCCTCCTAAAACTTCCCCTGCCCCCATTCCACCACTAGAGTTAAGAACTTATGCAATTCACATGTACTCGGATGGTTATAATCAAAAAGAGAAAATAACAGTGCTGCTGTAGATGTGGAAAAACTGGAACCCTCACGTATTGCTGGTGGAAATGTAAAATGGTGTGGTCACTTTGGAAAACAGTTTGACTGTTCCTCCTTTAACATAGAGTTAGAATAGTTTCTACTTGCTTTTTTCTTCTCTCAATATGATAATTTTTAAATCACAGTCTCCTCTGAAAACCAAATGACCTCAAAGTAAATTATGTTTGTATTTGACCTGGCTATAGGAGTACAAAATAATCACCACACAGCCATTTGAGCTCAATCTCAAAAAAAGGAGAAATTTAGAAAAAATTGTTATACTTTATACCATTCCTGAAATACAGTACCATAAATCAATAAATATAAACCAAATAATATATCTTGACTTCTAACACCAAATAATGTCAGTTTCGCAATCACATTATTTTGGCGAATGAGAGCATGAGTTTCTGAATCAGGAAGACCTAACTTTGAATTCAGGAGCCCCTCAATTATTACTGTGTAATTTTGTGAAAGCCATTTAATGCTTCCTGTGCCACATTTTCTCTAAGTTAAGAATAGCAATAACTTATATCATAGGGTTGTTTTGAATATTAAGTAAGAATTTATGCAGAATGCTTTGCACAATTATGGCCACAGTGCCTAATGAACATATTTATTCTTCACAATAAATCACTGTTATTCCTTTTTCTTTCTTGCAGTACGCGGGCCTCTCACCATTGTGGCCTCTCCCGTTGAGGAGCACAGGCTCCGGATGCGCAGGCCCAGCAGCCATGGCTCACGGGCCTAGCTGCTCTGTGCGGCATGTGGGATCTTCCTGGACTGGGGCACGAACCCGTGTCCCCTGCATCGGCAGGCGGACTCTCAACCACTGCGCCACCAGGGAAGCCCTATTCTTAATCATGGTGTTGAAGAAGCACTGGATGCACATCAGGACAGCAGCATTAGTGCCATTGGTGCTAGTTGTGTGACCCTGGTCCAGTCATTTCATCTCTCCAGATCTCAACTCACTCATCTTCATCTCTAAGGTCCCTCCTGGTAATATTACATCATGGTAGCTACTTAATATGCATATATAACACAAACCTTATTTGTTATCTCTGGCATAAAACTTAAAACCCTCTCCTAAATGAAGGTATGTATTATGCCCGCAATACGGTAATGCTATTCTTACTATGACATGTCAATATCTATCTTTTGATAGTCAACAAGGATTTTAATGTAATCTAAAATTACAACTAAATAAAGAAAAATAAAATATATTTGACCCAATTTTTTGTTTTTGTTAAAATCCTTGAGACAAAAGAATAATGGGTTTTAGGAGATTCACATATTATTTAAAAAATCAGAGCAACTATCTTTTAATTGTTCACCTATAGATGAGTTATCATAGCTGACGGCTGACAGTCCAGATTTCACTTTTTTTTTTTTTTGTGGAATAAAAAGTGGGAAGCAAGAAATAAAAAGTAGATCTAGATAATTCATAAAATAGACACTGTATTTCTTAAAAATTAAAAGCTAAATGTGTTTAGATGGTCAAAATCAAACCTAGGAGAAGCACTGCTTGTGCCCATAGAAAGGAAATTTTTTTTTTTTTAAGAATCTTGTGATAACTAAATAATTATCTTTTTTCAAATTTAATGCATAAAACATTTCAAATGTATTTCATACCTATTTCATAGGTAGCTCAGAATGTGCTCTGAACATAGAAATAATAGGGAACATAAGCCTTTAAAATTCAAATAGACTAAAGTTTAAGGTATTATTCACTCTAGAATTTCATAGAATAATGACCTACAATAAAAGGAATAGAAATAATGCTGTGTTATAGTGAGCACAGCATTTCTGCTTCACCAATATTCTGTTTGTATTTGGTCTTATCAGATGTTTAGTCAATAGCTGAAACATTTATTCATAGCCAGTCAATTACAACACCAGGAAATCAGCTACTGAATAAACTGTGCTATTAATTTTCCATCAGAGATTCATGTTTGAATGACCATGCATTTCATAGATTTAAATACTGAAAGGCTAATTATCTCCAAGGCCCCATTAAAGGGATAGCATAGATTACAATAAAAAACAATCTTAATATTGCTCAAAAATGATCCTCAGGGGCGTCCCTGGTGGCGCAGTGGTTGACAGTCTGCCTGCCGATGCAGGGAACATGGGTTCATGACCCGGTCCGGGAAGATCCCACATGCCGCAGAGTGGCTGGTCCCCTGAGCCATGGCCGCTGAGCCTGCGGGTCCGGAGCCTGAGCTCCGCAACGGGAAAGGCCACAACAGTGAGAGGCCCACGTACCGCAAAAAAAAAAAAAAAAAAGATCCTCAGCTTTCAATGCTGAAGAGTACTTCATTTCTCTGTCTATGGCACACACTAAGCAATATATATACATAACCCCCCCCAAGCAATTTCTTTCCCAAAACCTTAGAAAAATAAACCTGAACAGCTTCTTAAATACAAAGATTCATTAATTTATAAAGTTAAATGCAGATTAAAACCTTTTCTTCCTAATCTCTGTTCAATGTTCAAATTATTATTTTTTTCCTTTTAAATGACTGTCTCACAAAATGCCGTTATCGTGAATAAACTGATACTGTGTATTTTCTGGACTACTAATCTGAGAACCAGTGATTTGGGTCTTGAAGGTATCTCTCTTCATAAATGTAGTTGGCCTTCCCCTTAAAAATGCTATGATATATACACATAGGGAATAAAGTTGACAGTCACACAGTTTCATATTTTTTCTTCCTTCTGATAAAGTTACTTTGTATTTTGGGACCCACAAAATGGGGGCCACCCCAGTGGCCTCGTCCACATCACAAATCTAAATCTGTACTTATGGGAAATGACTGTCAAGGATACACTGATCACAATCCTCCAACTCAGAGTTAGCTAGCTCACCTTACCCTAGAAAACAGGACCTGCTAGCCTTATAAGGAAATCCCCAACCTCCTTGCCAATCGCGCCCTGTTTAGAGTTGTCTCTATAAAACTCACTCTTATCCAACATCCCTCAGGGAGAGTGCATCACTGATGGTGAGGCACTTACTGCCTCAACCCATGGATTGTTTTCCCTTGAATATAGCACATCAAAGTCATTACTAAATAGCTTTGTCATTTGACCTTGCCTGCCTTTGTTTCTACCTCCTCCCTCCCCTCCCCTCTCCTCCCCTCCCCTCCCCTCCCCTTCCCTTCTCTCCTCTCCTCTCCTCTCCTCTTCTCCCCTCCCCTCCCCTCCCTTCTTTCCCTTATTCTAAAAATAACTATGAAGCTTGCTTCTGGGATTCTTTTTCACAAAGAACTCATAAACAGTAGAAATGTTTTTCATCTTGCTTAGAAACAAATTACAACATGTTAACTGGAGGAAAAATTACACTTACATTCAGATTCATGTGTTTATAATAAGTGGAAGAGTAAGATCGTCACAGCTTGTCTTGATTAATTTGGCACAGAAGCATGATATTCCAAGTATCCTGGAATTGTTGTCTTATTTGATTGAGTGTCATTTCTGGATGACTTGCTACTCAAATATTGGCTAGACCAACATAGGAATGAAATGTTTTCATACCCACCTCTCTGAAGAAATTAGAGATTTATTATATATTACACCCAACTCACCTTTCAGTGATGATCAAAATTCTCACACCCAAAGTTGCACCTCTATGCTAGTCTGTGCTCCTCTTATATGATAGAGCACTGGCACTGTCAAATTTCTTTTTAGCACATACGCTTTCATATAACTTTCCATTCCCACCCTCCATGCCCTCCCTGAAATTCTTCTAGCTCAACAGGATACATTATCATCTTTCTATCGGATGCCCATACATGCTATCACCAACAGAGACAATTCAACAACTTAACACATTTATAAAAACGCAGAAAGTACCTGGACATAGGCTCTGCAAGAGCGCTCTCTTTTCTGAAGCTGAATCCATTAAGACAGCAGATTAAACACAGAATAGAAAAAACAAGTTAGTGACAGAAGAAAACAAGAAAAATAAAAGAACACATCTACACAAACACCTTATTTTGTTGTGCACTACTTTCAAGAAGAGAATGAAAGCTAAGCAGCAGCAAAATGTCAGCAACAGTTTGAAAAATAGTAACTAACAGCTTTTCAGAACCCAAGTGATAACTGGATGGTATAAAGCTGTTAATGATGGAAAGAAATCTTAGACTAAATTTAGTAGAAATTAGTAAGAATCAATATACTTCATTCATTTGACATGACGTTAGTTATTAATTCATGGGCCACAAATGAACATCTATGAAGTTAAGTAAATTATGTCAAAAATTTGGAACCCATTTTTTAAAGATAGTAAATTGTCTGTGGTTTACAGATTTTTAGGTGGTTTATGTGTCCCACAAACCATTTGTTCATACATACAAAAAGTTCTATTTATTGAGAAAATAGAAATGCCCATTCATTTGACTATTTGATTCTAAGGGACAAATACCAAGAGATAAGTAACTTCTGATTAAATGAATGCAATCGATATTGTGATTTATCTTGTTTTTATTTCTTGAAGAATTCCTTTTGATGGTTTTGACGAAAAATTTGATACATTTTAGAAACTTCTGTGGGATAAGAAGCCTGTTTCTGTGTGTTTCTTTGTTTGCATACAGAATGATGTTTTTCTGGGCAAAGGTTAACAGCAACTCATACTCAGTCCCAAACATTTTTTCCTGGTGATAAAATGAATAATTAATACATATATTTGCTCTGTTTAAATAAATGACTACAAATTTTATAAATTAGATTGTAGTTTTCCTCCTTTTCCCTATTATTTTCCTTCAGGAGCCTCGATTGTTCAAGGAGAAAATTACCCAGTTTTAAGAAGCAGTTACTCTGATGCCTTTTGTGTGGCTAATACTCTCCCACTTTAATTCATGCATTCTTCAATGAGCATAGAGCAGTTACTCCTCTAAAGAATTAAGGGAGGAATGAGTGCAAGTAAATTGTCAGCACTGTCATTTGGATCACTGACTCTCATTTTGGTTTAGCAGGTCTCTAAACCCTCCAGAATTTCAATGTGGAGCACAATTGATTTGTACCAAGTTGACTTTGCAAATCTGATGGGTTAAAACTGCTTCAGGGAACAGTGGGAACCACAGGAAATGAGAGCAAGCCAGGAAGCATGTGAATGACCTCTGCCGTCCCATCTTCTTACCCCATCATGCAAATTAACATATAACAAACCACGTTATATAAACAGCTGAAAAGAGCCAAATAAGAAACAAAAGAGAGCATTAAAAAGCTTCACAAATGAAAATTTGTCCATTATGCAGTTATTTGATATTCAGACTAGGCAAGCTTATTAGCTGTAGCTAGTTAGAATGTGACATTAATTGCCAGGTTTACCCGATATTGTCAGACAGCGACACCATTTTTAAATAAAGATACACAGTATTGCTATAACAAGTAATGGTATGGATACGTAACATTAATAGAAATTACTATATCCAGTACATTATGATAACAATAGCTGGCAGCAATATTCATTAATAGCCTCCAGTCAGCCTGGGTAACAACACATTAAAATCACAGCATGCCCAGACTACATAGGCAGCTGTGGATTATATTCTGCCAGCGGCTTGGTTGAGATTCTATCAGGAATATGAATGACAAAAATAACTCCTTTTTGCTCAGCATGAAAAAAACTTTAGTTATAATTTATATCTAATTGATAAAACTGAATCTATTTTCTGAGGATGAAATTGCAGGAAAAACTGACAGATAAAATATCTAGCTTTTTAATGTCGAACCATTATTATTTTAAAAAGTTTCTTCCATCTCATGAGTGAGACTCCTAGTCTAATAAGACAGAAAAGAAATAAACATAATAAAGACCAGTCTGCAAAGTTATTTTTTCATTCTAAAGGGGAATGTTCATTTAGTGAATTTCATACAGGACATTAGAGGGTCACTGCCAAATTCTTGCTTTTTTAAGTAATAAGATTATCACTGATATCTGAGACCTTAAAATCAAGTTTCAATAACCGATTATCTTTACTACAAAAATGCCATTCAGGGAATACATGTTATCTGATGGCAGCATTCTAGTATCTTTTCACCATGTGATATTTTGTTACATAAATAAATGATATTCTTTATAAATATATTAAATATATTTTACATACTTATGTAAATAAAATGCTTATATGTGTATAGATTATATATAAAATGCTTATATATGAGTATATAATGTATATAAATATATAGTAGATTTATAAATATTAATTAAAATACATAAAATTCCTTAAAATTTAAAAAATAAATTATTTTTATTAGTTACAATTCAAAGTTGCTGAAACACATTTAAACCTTTTAAGTTATAATGGTAATGATACAAAATCAGTAATTTAAAAATCAAAAGGAAATAAAAATTAAAACAAATACTTGCCCTATGAGTTTTTTAATGTAATATTAATTAGGTTAAATTATTTTTAAAAAATCTATAATGTATTACTAATATCCTTTTTCATTGTTATTTTCTAAATTTCTGCTTGCTGATTAGACATTTGTTTTACTGTTAATTATATTAATATAAAGGTTTGAAAGGGAAAAAAAAAACCAAAAGAAATGGCATTTATCTATAGTAACCCTGTCCGAATTTAGCATACAAAAGAGTACTATGGAAAATAGAATTGTAAATTCAAAATACATAGAGATCTCATTTATTGTTCCTTAGATTGAAAGTCAAATAAGGTCATTATTATACTGCAGTAATGAAGTGAATTGAATATAGCTAGCAATTCTCTTTAGAATGATCTGATTTTATGGAAAGAAAGAAATTAATCAGGGAAGTCTCACTGATTTTACAACTTTAAAGATACATGTAACAAAGGTCCTTACCTTGTTCAAACTTCGTGCAGCACTATCTTTTCCACCTGGGGTCAAGTTCCGGAGCTGTACATCTAGGAGGCCTACCAGCTGATCCATGGCCCGGACTGAATAAGTGATATCTCCAGCATTCAAATGATTTCTTGTCTGTTCAGCCAGTTCTCTAGCAATGTTGGCAGCTGTCTCTCCAGATTTCAACTACAATTTTGAAAACAGAACAAAAAGGAAAGAGATCTTAAATAAGTAATTTTATTGGTTTCCTTGGACAATTGTTTTTGCATATGTTTTAACCATTGAGGCAAGAAAGTTATTAAACCCCATCTTTACTTGGTATACATTCCTTAAGTTTTCCTGCTAATCCATTATTTTCTTCAATACCCAACTTGAAATTCATGCCTTTAGGAAGCTCCTCTTGAGGAATCTAACTTCTAGAAATTGTTCTTAGTTTACCCATCTGGGTGGTTAAGTCTAAGGTTTGCCCTATGACTTTTCTCTATGCGTTTCTAAATTGGATGCTGACAGAGGCCAGTACAAATTTTCCATTATGCCTAGTTTAGCACTTAGTTCACAACGAATACTCACTGGCTGCTAAACTCTGTGAAAATTTAATTCCAAATAAAATCCCTGCTTTTCAAAGTGCTGTTCATCTTCTTACTAAGTAAGAGATTTTGTTCCCAATGTATTAGGTAGCAAACTTTTGCTTAGTTTCTAGCACTTTCCTTTTCTGAAAGAACATGCTGCTTTTTCAAGTATATTCTACAAGAATTTTTCAAATTGTCAACAATTCAAAGATGTTAAAAGAGACTAATACCTTATGATTACTTGAGCAAATTTGATAGCTCTGGGTAATAAGACAGAAATATATATTAGCTTATAAGGAAGGCCTGGGGAACTTAAAAAAAAAAGTAAGTGTAATTTCCCAATTTATCATGTCCTTTATCATTTTTAAACTAATAGACTAAAATAAGATTATAAAACATTTACACAATACAGATATAGGTATGCAATGCAAAAATCATGAATGTCTCTTCTTTTGCCTCTATATATTCCCACTTCCCAGAGATTGTTAATGGTTTGGCATGGATCTTTCCTGACTTTAGCCTGCTCTATTACTACTTAAATATATAATAGTGTCATTATTTAGAAAATTTTCTTTTCTTCTCTTTTTCTATTTTTAACACAGTCTAATACAGAACTTAGGATCCTGAACAGAAAGGTCCTCTCTTTGTAAGGCTATCTTCCTAATGGATATCCAGAAAGCTATAAGGGGCACAACAAAAACTCTTAGTCAAATAGGTTATCACTATCTATTCGGGGATGCTTAATAAATGTTTGTAGCAGTATTGAGTGTTAAAGAAACATGAATAAATTGGAGAAATTGGAATAACTAAATTGTTAACAATCACATTCTCAAGTATATAGAAAAATCCTAATTCAAAAACATAAAAATAGTTTAATAACAAAGTGTTGGCAAAGATTTGTAAAAATGTATATGACCATCATAAACTACTACTGAATGTGTATATTTGCATTCTTCCTATGTAGAGTAAATTACTAGTGTCTATTAAACTCTGAAATGTGAAGACTGTATAAGACAGAGATTTCTCTTATCACTATCAACCATAAAAAAATAATCCCACTGTTACGAAAGAGATATGTTCAAAGATGTTCATTCTAGCTTGCTTATAATAGAAAACAAAATGGGCTATGACTGTGGAAAACTGCTTATGTATATAAATACTATGGAATATTAATCAACAGTTTAAAAGTATGAAGGAGAACAATATTGTTAACGTTAATCTTCAACATGTAATATTGAGTTAAAATAAATGCAAGTATAAAAATTATTTATATGCTTATATAGGCATGTTATTTGTGAAATAACACAACTTGAGTAGCATATAAACATGTTACCTATGAAAAATAAATATTATATGTAAATATTTTACATTTATATATATATGTGTATATGTTTAAACACATAGAACAAAATCTGAAAGATGGAAATCAAAAATAAATCCTTTTCTGCAATGTTTAAATTTTACAAGAAGAATATTAATGTATTACAAGAAGAATATGTTAAAGTATTATTATATAGTTAATTGGTACTTTTTAGAAACGCTTAAAATAAAAAAACACTTGCACTAAATTTTTGAATTTGTAAATTCTGGTCAGGACCTGAAAACCTGAGATACTTGTAAGACCAAATGGAATAGATTGTAAGGTTCAAGGATAAGTGTGTAACAAAGTCAACGTAGACCCAACTGATGGATCATGAAAGTACTTTTAAGTGGTCACAAAGTGACGTAAATGTGATTATAATCCATACATTTAATCATTACATATAATTTAGGGCTACTTACTGGTAATCTAGTAAATCAATTAATGATTTATAAAATTCGGTATTCGTTAATTGGTGAAATGCTAGTACTCATGAAGTATTCAAATTCAATATTCCGTCAGTAAGTCTGAACACCTAATACAATTGCTTGGCAATGTTGCAAAACTCCTGTGCACGTGAGTATCCAGATAGCTGGAATTCCTATAATTTTCCAAAGGGGTATTCTTTTAATCAATGCACCACTCATAGAGTCTTTTTTTTTTTTTATAGAAAGGCAGACTGCCAAATACAGCACTTCATTTGGATATGTCTAGAGTCTTGGAAGCTTGACTACCCTATGTTCTCCTACAAATGGACCTTGAGAGCTTGATTGGAGGTTCTAGCAGGGGAGCGTACCTACTCATATACCCTTGACTGAAGAATGGTCCTCCTCTATTGGGAAAGGTCATCCTCTTCAACCAAGCGAGCAGCTTTGGAAGGGATGCACGTGGAGCGGTGAGGGAGGAAGGGGACACCTGCCTAGCCAGCCAGATCAGCCGAATCAACCCTGGAGATCAATGGGGTGACAGATGCCACATCCACCATCCATAGAGTCTTGCATTTGTTGTAGTTTCCCACCTACGCTATTCTTATAAAAATGAATCTATTTGTGGAATTACTATTGTTTTACTTTGTTAAGCATTATGCACTTGTATAATTGTTTTATTATCATTATTACTGTATTGTTTTCTTCTATGCCTTTATTACCACCATTACCAATACCATTATAATATTTTTTCTATGAGAAAATGTCAAGGCACATGGACCTCTGGAGTCTTTTGATTCACTTAAATGGGCGCTGTTGGAAAAAGGCTGAGATCTACTAGATAATAGGCTTTCTTTCATACATTATCTTCAAAACTAAAGATGCAAGTACTGACTTTCATTACAGCTATCAGGGAACATTATAAAAAACAAAATTACTTATCAAACAGAAAAAAAATAGGTATTTTCACATTGTAATTCAATTTCTTTTCTTTTTCTGTGTAGTTGTACAAACATAGTCTTCAATTATTAATTATTATAACATTGGGGTAGGACACGATAAGATGAAAAAGGAGGCCTATGTAACTCCCTAATATAAAAATTTAAACTTTTTCTTTATGAACAGTAATGAAAAAGTTGCAAATGTAAATGACTAATAAGTCAAAATATTACTGCTCTCAACATAAAAGATAATGATGCTGCCGATATATGTGTCAAAGCAGATAGTGTAGTGTTGTAAAACCATGAGTCAAATATGAAAATCTCTAGTGGATTATCTTAAAAATAGTAACTACATTTTAGCACTCAAGTGTTTATTTATGAAGAATAAATCTAATTAACCCCACAAAAGAACTCTGGAACTCAATGTTCACCAACAAGGAAGTTGTAAGAAAAAAACTAAAGTACAAATAAGTTATAAAAATGTTTATAATAAAAATGTGATAAGCATGTCTTTAAAGTAAAATAAAAACTAATATAACCAGTTATTCATTATGGTCCTCTCTTCCTCTTAAAATTGAAGAAATCATAGTAAAATTCTTTCATTCATTCGACAATCATTTGGACACTGGTTATATTTTAAGGAAATAAAGACAAATGTTATATGTGGCTCTTGCGCTCAGGAATCTCACGTTCTACTAGTTGGTATTGCGGGGGAGGGTGCATAAAGGCAGATAATACTAATTCAACAATGCAATCATAATAACAGAATGTATATGAGGTGTTATTGGACTATAGTACAGGGGTAATAAACACCTGGAAATTAGGTAGGAAAGCAACAGAAAGTAACAATAAGTTGAAAGTTAAAAGATAAGTTGAGGGTGACTTGGTAAGATAAAATTCTGGTGGGGACTGGCGGGGAGAGACAGCCAAGAGGATGCTATATAAAAAGCGAAGTCTAAATAATCATGGGTTGGGAAGACAGGGCACTAAAGGCAGAACAGAAAGAAAAAGCACATTTTTCTATCTTCAGAATTCAATTTGGTACCTACATAGCACAAATTGTGTGTCTGTATGTATTAAATATATATATATCTAGTTTTTAAAAAACAGAATATCTCTACCTCTACTTATAATTTCAACAATTGTTCCTTCAGTCTAAATGTTCATTTGTTATTTAACCAAAATTTGAATTTCTAATAGTATTATGCTAAAGTCTGGGGATAAAATGGTTCCCAATAACAGGACCTTATGTACTAGAAAGCGAAGGGCTATTAATAAATTAACTGCACAAGAATTTGATTTCAGTTTTTTTTGAGGGCAATACAGAATCCCAGTGTGGTAGAGTAGTTTAAAGGCATTTTAACCTGGTATATGAAGTTAGGGAATAATTTAGGAAATACTTCTCTGAGAAAGAATGTGTAATCTGAGATGAAATAGAAAAGCGGGAATTAGGTTGGGATGAGGGCTGGAGTTTCCGGGCAGAGAGAGCAGCTTTTAGGCGAGGGGGCGGGGGGCAGGGGGGCAGGGAGTCTTAAGGGTGCCTTACAAAGGGCACTTGTGACTGGGGTTTAGGCAGCTGGAGAGGTAAGCAAGGAGCAGATTGAGTAGTCTCACTTTGGAAGTCATGACGACGATTTTGGAAAATTGTGTTAAGAGTGATGTGAATGGGGCTTCCCTGGTGGCGCCGTGGTTGAGAGTCCGCCTGCTGATGCAGGGGACATGGGTTTGTGCCCCGGTCCGGGAAGATCCCACATGCCGCGGAGCGGCTGGGCCCGTGAGCCATGGCCGCTGAGCCTGCGCGTCCGTCCGGAGCCCGTGCTCCGCAACGGGAGAGGCCACAACAGTGAGAGGCCCGCGTACCGCAAAAAAAAAAAAAGAGTGATGTGAATGT